CACTCCCAGCTCTCCAACAAACCACCACAACCACCCTCCACCAACCACACCCAGCCCCCCCAACAACCACCCCAACCACCACTCCCAGCCCCCCAAAACCACAACCACCCCCCCACCAACCCACTCCCAGCCCCCCAACAACCACCACAACCACCCCTCCACCAACCACCACTCCCAGCCCCCCAACAACCACCCCAACCACCACTCCCAGCCCCCCAACAACCACCACAACCACCCCTCCACCAACCACCACTCCCAGCCCCCCAACAACCACCCCAACCACCACTCCCAGCCCCCCAACAACCACCACAACCACCCCTCCACCAACCACCACTCCCAGCCCCCCAACAACCACCACAACCACCCCTCCACCAACCACCACTCCCAGCCCCCCCCCCCAACCCCACTCCCACCCCCCAACCACCAACAACCACCCCCCACCAACCACCACTCCCAGCCCCCACCCCCAACAAACCACCCCACAACCACCCACTCCAGCCCCCCACCAACCACCCCACACCACCACTCCCAGCCCCCCAACAACCACCCCAACCACAACTCCCAGCCCTCCAACAACCACCACAACCACCACTCCCAGCCCTCCAACAACTACTCCTCTCTCTCCATCAATAACTCCTTCTACATTTTCAACATTCTCAACGACAACCCCTACTACCCCATGCGTGCCTGTCTGCATTTGGACTGGCTGGCTGGATTCTGGAAAACCTGACTTTAACAAACCAGGTGGAGATACAGAATTGATTGAAGGCATCTGCGAATCAGGATGGGCAGCTAACATCTCTTGCAGAGCCACCATGCATCCTGATGTTCCCATTGGACAGCTTGGACAAACAGTGGTGTGTGACATCCATGAGGGGCTAGTATGCAAAAATGAAGACCAAAAGCCAGGTGGGGTCATTCCTATGGCCTTCTGCCTCAACTATGAGATCAACGTTCAGTGCTGTAAGTGTGTCACCCAACCCACGACCATGACAATAACCACCACAGAGACTCCAACCTCAACACCCACCACAACCATCACCACCACAGAGACTCCAACTCTGACACCCACCACCACAGAGACTCTAACCCCAACACCCATCACCACCACCACTACAGTGACCCCAACCCCGACAACCATCCCCACCACCACTTCAGTGACATCAACCCCAACGCCCACTAGCACAGAGACGCCAACCCCGACACCGATCACCACCACCACCACGGTGACCCCAACCACAACACCCACCAGCACACAGACCCCAACACCGACATCCATCACCACCACCACCACGACAGCGACACCAACCCCAACACCCACCAGCACCCAGACCCCAACTTCGACACCCATCACCACCACCACCACGACAGCAACACCAACCCCAACACCCACCAGCACACAAACCCCAACCTCGACACCCATCACCACCACCAGCACGACAGTGACACCAACCCCAACACCCACCAGCACACAGACCCCAACCCCGACACCCACCAGCACACAGACCCCAACCACTCCACCAACACCTATCACCACCACCACTACAGTGACCCCAACCACAACACCCACCACCACCACAGAGACCCCAACCCCAACACCCACCACTACCACTACAGTGACACCAACCCCAACACCTACAACCACAGAGACCCCAACACCTACCAACACAGTGACACCAACCCCAACACCCACCAGCACCCAGACCCCAACTTCGACACCCATCACCACCACCAGCACGACAGCGACACCAACCCCAACACCCACCAGCACACAGACCCCAACCCCGACACCCACCAGCACACAGACCCCAACCACTCCACCAACACCTATCACCACCACCACTACAGTGACCCCAACTACAACACCCACCACCACCACCACAGAGACCCCAACCCCAAAACCCACCACTACCACTACAGTGACACCAACCCCGACACCTACAACCACAGAGACCCCAACCCCAACACCTACCAACACAGTGACACCAACCCCAACACCCACCAGCACCCAGACCCCAACTTTGACACCCATCACCACCACCACCACGACAGCGACACCAACCCCAACAGCCACCAGCACACAGACCCCAACCTCGACACCCATCACCACCACCACCACGACAGCGACACCAACCCCAACACCCACCAGCACACAGACCCCAACCTCGACACCCATCACCACCACCAGCACGACAGCGACACCAACCCCAACACCCACCAGCACACAGACCCCAACCCCAACACCCACCAGCACACAGACCCCAACCACTCCACCAACACCTATCACCACCACCACTACAGTGACCCCAACTACAACACCCACCACCACCACCACAGAGACCCCAACCCCAACACCCACCACTACCACTACAGTGACACCAACCCCAACACCTACAACCACAGAGACCCCAACCCCAACACCTACCAACACAGTGACACCAACCCCAACACCCACCAGCACCCAGACCCCAACTTCGACACCCATCACCACCACCACCACGACAGCAACACCAACCCCAACACCCACCAGCACACAGACCCCAACCCTGACACCCACCAGCACACAGACCCCAACCACTCCACCAACACCTATCACCACCACTACAGTGACCCCAACCACAACACCCACCACCACCACCACCACCACAGAGACCCCAACCCCAACACCCACCACTACCACTACAGTGACACCAACCCCAACACCTACAACCACAGAGACCCCAACCCCAACACCTACCAACACAGTGACACCAACCCCAACAACCACCAGCACCCAGACCCCAACTTCGACACCCATCACCACCACCACCACGACAGCGACACCAACCCCAACAGCCACCAGCACACAGACCCCAACCTCGACACCCATCACCACCACCACCACGACAGCGACACCTACCCCAACACCCACCAGCACACAAACCCCAACCTCGACACCCATCACCACCACCAGCACGACAGCGACACCAACCCCAACACCCACCAGCACACAGACCCCAACCCGACACCCACCAGCACACAGACCCCAACCACTCCACCAACACCTATCACCACCACCACTACAGTGACCCCAACTACAACACCCACCACCACCACCACAGAGACCCCAACCCCAACACCTACAACCACAGAGACCCCAACACCTACCAACACAGTGACACCAACCCCAACACCCACCAGCACCCAGACCCCAACTTTGACACCCATCACCACCACCACCACGACAGCGACACCAACCCCAACACCCACCAGCACACAGACCCCAACCCCGACACCCACCAGCACACAGATCCCAACCACTCCACCAACACCTATCACCACCACCACTACAGTGACCCCAACCACAACACCCACCACCACCACCACCACAGAGACCCCAACCCCAACACCCACCACTACCACTACAGTGACACCAACCCCAACACCTACAACCACAGAGACCCCAACCCCAACACCTACCAACACAGTGACACCAACCCCAACAACCACCAGCACCCAGACCCCAACTTCGACACCCATAACCACCACCACCACGACAGCAACACCAACCCCAACACCCACCAGCACACAAACCCCAACCTCGACACCCATCACCACCACCAGCACGACAGCGACACCAACCCCAACACCCACCAGCACACAGACCCCAACCCCGACACCCACCAGCACACAGACCCCAACCACTCCACCAACACCTATCACCACGACCACTACAGTGACCCCAACCACAACACCCACCACCACCACCACAGAGACCCCAACCCCAACACCCACCACTACCACTACAGTGACACCAACCCCAACACCTACAACCACAGAGACCCCAACCCCAACACCTACCAACACAGTGACCCCAACCCCAACACCCACTAGCACCCAGACCCCAACTTCGATACCCATCACCACCACCACCACGACAGCGACACCAACCCCAACACCCACCAGCACACAGACCCCAACCCTGACACCCATCACCACCACCACCACAACAGTGACACCAACCCAAACACCCACCAGCACACAGACCCCAACCCCGACACCCACCAGCACACAGACCCCAACCACTCCACCAACACCTATCACCACCACCACTACAGTGACCCCAACTACAACACCCACCACTACCACTACAGTGACACCAACCCCGACACCTACAACCACAGAGACCCCAACCCCAACACCTACCAACACAGTGACCCCAACCCCAACACCCACCAGCACTCAGACACCAACTTCGACACCCATCACCACCACTACCACGACAGCGACACCAACCCCAACACCCACCAGCACACAGACCCCAACCCCGACACCCATCACGACCACCACCACGACAGCGACACCAACCCCAACACCCACCAGCACACAGACCCCAACCTCGACACCCATCACCACCACCACCACGACAGCGACACAACCCAACACCACAGCACACAGACCCCAACCTCGACACCCATCACCACCACCACCACGACAGCGCCACCAACCCCAACACCCACCAGCACACAGACCCCAACCCCGACACCCACCAGCACACAGACCCCAACCACTCCACCAACACCTATCACCACGACCACTACAGTGACCCCAACCACAACACCCACCACCACCACCACAGAGACCCCAACCCCAACACCCAGCACTACCACTACAGTGACACCAACCCCAACACCTACAACCACAGAGACCCCAATCCCAACACCTACCAACACAGTGACACCAACCCCAACACCCACCAGCACCCAGACCCCAACTTCGACACCCATCACCACCACCACCACGACAGCGACACCAACCCCAACACCCACCAGCACACAGACCCCAACCTCGACACCCATCACCACCACCACCACAACAGCGACACCAACCCCAACACCCACCAGCACACAGACCCCAACCCCGACACCCACCAGCACACAGACCCCAACCACTCCACCAACACCTATCACCACCACCACTACAGTGACCCCAACCACAACACCCACCACCACCACCACAGAGACCCCAACCCCAACACCCACCACTACCACTACAGTGACACCAACCCCGACACCTACAACCACAGAGACCCCAACCGCAACACCTACCAACACAGTGACACCAACTCCAACACCCACCAGCACCCAGACCCCAACTTCGACAGCCATCACCACCACCACCACCACGACAGCAACACCAACCCCAACACCCACCAGCACACAGACCCCAACCCCGACACCCATCACCACCACCACGACAGCGACACCAACCCCAACACCCACCAGCACACAGACCCCAACCCCGACACCCATCACCACCACCACCACGACAGCGACACCAACCCCAACACCCACCAGCACACAGACCCCAACCCCGACACCCATCACCACCACCACCACGACAGCGACACCAACCCCAACACCCACCAGCACACAGACCCAAACCCCGACACCCATCACCACCACCACCACGACAGCGACACCAACCCCAACACCCACCAGCACAGAGACCCCAACCTCGACACCCATCACCACCACCACCACGACAGCAACACCAACCCCAACACCCACCAGCACACAGACCCCAACACCCACCAGCACACAGACCCCAACCACTCCACCAACACCTATCACCACCACCACTACAGTGACCCCAACCACAACACCCACCACCACCACCACCACAGAGACCCCAACCCCAACACCCACGACCACCACTACAGTGACACCAACCCCGACACCTACAACCACAGAGACCCCAACACCTACCAACACAGTGACACCAACCCCAACACCCACCAGCACCCAGACCCCAACTTCAACACCCATCACCACCACCACCACGACAGCAACACCAACCCCAACACCCACCAGCACACAGACCCCAACCCCGACACCCATCACCACCACCACCACGACAGCGACACCAACCCCAACACCCACCAGCACACAGACCCCAACCCTGACACCCATCACCACCACCACCACGACAGTGACACCAACCCCAACACCCACCAGCACACAGACCCCAACCCCAACATCCATCACCACCACTACCACGGTGACCCCAACACCAACACCCACCAGCACACAGACCCCAACCCCGACACCCATCACCACCACCACCACGACAGTGCCTCCAACCACAACATCCACGAGCACACAGACCCCCACCTCGACACCCATCACCACTACCACTTTGGTGCCATCAACCCCAACACCCACTGGCACACAGACCCCAACCCCGATATCCATCACCACCACCACTAAGGTGACCCCAACCCCAACATCCACCAGCACACAGACTCCAACCCCGACACTCATCACCACCACCACGACAGTGACCCCAACCCCGACAAGCATCACCACCACCACTTCGGTGACATCAACCCCAACACCCACCAGCACACAGACCCCAACCCCGACACCCACCAGCACACAAACCCCAACCACTCCACCAACACCTATCACAACCACCACTATAGTGACCCCAAGCACAGCACCCACCACCACCACCACAGAGACCCCAACCCCAACACCCACCACCACCACTACAGTGACACCCACCCCGACACCTACAACCACAGAGACCCCAACCCCAACACCTACCAACACAATGACACCAACCCCAACACCCACCAGCCCACAGACCCCAACCCCGACACCCATCACCACCACCACCACGATAGCGACACCAACCCCAACACCCACCAGCACTCAGACCCCAACCGCGACACCCATCACCACCACCACCACGACAGCGACACCAACCCCAACACCCACCAGCACACAGACCCCAACCCCGACACCCATCACCACCACCACCACGACAGCGACACCAACCCCAACACCTACCAGCACACAGACCCCAACCCCGACATCCATCACCACCACTACCACGGTGACCCCAACCCCAACACCCACCAGCACACAGACCCCAACCACTCCACCAACACCTATCACCACCACCACTACAGTGACCCCCACCACAACAGCCACCACCACCGCCACAGAGACCCCAACACCTACCACCACCACTACAGTGACACCAACCCCGACACCTACAACCACAGAGACCCCAACCCCAACACCTACCAACACAGTGACACCAACCCCAACACCCACCAGCACACAGACCCCAACCCCTACACCCATCACCAGCAACACCACAGCAATGACACCAACCCCAACACCCACCAGCACACAGACCCCAACCCCGACACCCATCACCACCACCAGCACGACAGCGACACCAACCCCAACACCCACCAGCACACAGACCCCAACCCCGACATCCATCACCACCACTACCACGGTGACCCCAACCCCAACACCCACCAGCACACAGACCCCAACCCCAACACCCACCAGCACACAGACCCCAACCACTCCACCAACACCTATCACCACCACCACTACAGTGACCCCCACCACAACAGCCACCACCACCGCCACAGAAACCCCAACACCCACCACCACCACTACAGTGACACCAACCCCGACACCTACAACCACAGAGACCCCAACCCCAACACCTACCAACACAGTGACACCAACCCCAACACCCACCAGCACACAGACCCCAACCCCTACACCCATCACCAGCAACACCACAGTAATAACACCAACCCCAACACCCACCAGCACACAGACCCCAACCCTGACACCCATCACCACCACCACCACGACAGCAACACCAACCCCAACACCCACCAGCACACAGACCCCAACCCCAACATCCATCACCACCACTACCACGGTGACCCCAACACCAACACCCACCAGCACACAGACCCCAACCCCGACACCCATCACCACCACCACCAGGACAGTGACTCCAACCACAACACCCACCAGCACACAGACCCCAACACCCACCAGCACACAGACCCCAACCACTCCACCAACACCTATCACCACCACCACTACAGTGACCCCAACCACAACACCCACCACCACCACCACCACAGAGACCCCAACCCCAACACCCACGACCACCACTACAGTGACACCAACCCCGACACCTACAACCACAGAGACCCCAACCCCAACACCTACCAACACAGTGACACCAACCCCAACACCCACCAGCACCCAGACCCCAACTTCAACACCCATCACCACCACCACCACGACAGCAACACCAACCCCAACCCACCAGCACACAGACCCCAACCCCGACACCATCACCACCACCACCACGACAGCGACACCAACCCCAACACCCACCAGCACACAGACCCCAACCCTGACACCCATCACCACCACCACCACGACAGTGACACCAACCCCAACACCCACCAGCACACAGACCCCAACCCCAACATCCATCACCACCACTACCACGGTGACCCCAACACCAACACCCACCAGCACACAGACCCCAACCCCGACACCCATCACCACCACCACCACGACAGTGCCTCCAACCACAACATCCACGAGCACACAGACCCCCACCTCGACACCCATCACCACTACCACTTTGGTGCCATCAACCCCAACACCCACTGGCACACAGACCCCAACCCCGATATCCATCACCACCACCACTAAGGTGACCCCAACCCCAACATCCACCAGCACACAGACTCCAACCCCGACACTCATCACCACCACCACGACAGTGACCCCAACCCCGACAAGCATCACCACCACCACTTCGGTGACATCAACCCCAACACCCACCAGCACACAGACCCCAACCCCGACACCCACCAGCACACAAACCCCAACCACTCCACCAACACCTATCACAACCACCACTATAGTGACCCCAAGCACAGCACCCACCACCACCACCACAGAGACCCCAACCCCAACACCCACCACCACCACTACAGTGACACCCACCCCGACACCTACAACCACAGAGACCCCAACCCCAACACCTACCAACACAATGACACCAACCCCAACACCCACCAGCCCACAGACCCCAACCCCGACACCCATCACCACCACCACCACGATAGCGACACCAACCCCAACACCCACCAGCACTCAGACCCCAACCGCGACACCCATCACCACCACCACCACGACAGCGACACCAACCCCAACACCCACCAGCACACAGACCCCCACCCCGACACCCATCACCAATACCACTTCGGTGCCATCAACCCCAACACCCACTGGCACACAGACCCCAACCCCGTCACCCATCGCCACCACCACTACAGTGACCCCAACCCCAACATCTACCAGCACTCAGACCCCAACCCCGATACCCATCACCACCACCACTACGGTGACCCCAACCCCAACATCCACCAGCACACAGACCCCAACCCTGACACCCATCACCACCACCACTACGGTGACCCCAACCCCAACATCCACCAGCACACAGACCCCAACCCCGACACCCATCACCACCACCACTACGATGACGTCAACCCCAACACCTACGACTACAAGCACGGAGATCCCCAGCCCCACAAGCACAGCACCCATTTCTGAGTCAACCACATCCAAACCCCCACCTGAGTCCTCAACCCCTCAGATATCTCGGTCCACCTCTTCCCCTCCCACGGAGTCAACCACCCTTTTGAGTACTGCACCACCTACCATTGAGACGACCAGTACGGCCCCACCCTCCACACCCACGTCACCTACAGCCACCACGACGGGAGGCCACACGCCGTCTCCACCGCCCAGCACCACCACGGCCCCTCCAGGTAAGCAGAGCCGCTCGGTTCCTCCAGCCTGGGATGCTTCCTCCTCCCCTTCGGCCAGGCAGGACTGTCCCAGGAAGGCTCAAGGCAGGTTCTGGGCACCTCTCTGCCCACCAAGCATGGTTACTGTGTGGGCAGGAGCTGCTGACACTGTCCAGTGATGGGCAGTGAAGCCAAAGGCCACCCCGCTGCTTGCCCATATGACGGCCTTCTTAGGAGTCACTGACACCAGCCAGTGCTGGGCAGTGGAGTCAAAGGCCACCCCGCTCGCCCATAGGACAGCCTTCTTCAGGGGCCCACTGCTGTGTGATGTGGTGCTGTGGGAGCCCACCAAGGCTGGGGGGCAGAGAGAGGCTGCCAGTGAGGTGCCTGCAGGTCCTCCTGCTTCTGGCTGTACCCCCTCCTCGGGGCCTCTTTCCGGCAGACGGTGTGCCACAGCCAGTGCCTTCTGGACAACTCTTGCTGTCAGTCAGCTTGGCCAGCAAGCTGTGTTGCTGCAGGAGCACCAGGTCATCTACGGGCTCTCGTGACACTCGGCTGTGGTGATGCTGGCCCTGTCGCTCCACCCTGCCTGGTGGCTCAGAACCTGGGAGGTGGGCGCGAGGCCCTGGTCCTCCAGTTCTGCGACCTGGTCGACTGTCTGGCTCCCTCGCAGCTGGGGAGTGGCGGTTGGGACCCTGCGGTGTCTGAGATGTGCAATGTCTCAGCCCTCACTGGTGTCCCCTGCTCTCACAGGCACCCCCACTCACAGTACCACGACCGGGTCATCTGCACCCACCACCCCCAGCACTGTGCAGACGACCACCACCAGCGCCTGGACCCCCACACCGACCCCAATCTCCACACTCAGCAGCATCACGACTACAGGCCTGAAGCCGTCCATCATTAAATGCTGTGAACTGAACGACACCTTCTACGCACCAGGTGCTCAGGCTGTTCACATCCTGGGCTCGGGCGGCCGAGGCTGGTTTTGGCCCCGGCATGTACCAGTGGGTCAGGCGCCAGGGCTGAGATCACTGTGGGAGCGTCTCAGGAGGCGGCAGCTGTCGAGGGTGGCTGTGTCCAGGGCATAGCTTCCCTCGGGTGGCCTCTGGGGGTACCTCTGTGCGGTCCAGCGGCTAGCCCTGCCTCTGGGCGGTGTGGTCATGGGTCTGTCTCCCTTCGCAGGTGAGGTGGTGTACAACGGCACACACGGAGACACCTGCTATTTCGTGAACTGCTCACTGAGCTGTACCTTGGAGTTCTATAACTGGTCCTGCCCATCCACGCCCTCCCCAACGCCCACGCCCTCCAAGTCGACGCCCACGTCTTCCAAGCCATCGCCCACGCCCTCCAAGCCAACGCCCAGCACCACCAAGCCCCCCGCGTGCCCAGACTTTGATCCTCCCAGACAGGTCAGTGGGCTGCAGGTGGCTTTGTCCCCACGGCACTGAGCGCGGCATGTCCGGGCACCCAAGGCCCCAGGCACCACTTCCTGCCGGTCGTCTGAGGGCCAAGGCCTCCTGCAGCCCCTTGGGTGCGGGGTCTGCCAAGCCCTCCACCTTTTCACCGTGCCCTGCCGTGCCCTGCCGTGCCTGGCAAGGTGGCTGGCTGCAGTGAGGTCCTTGGAAGCCACCTCGGCCTCCAGCCTCCTGGCTCGGCACCCGCCCCTCCCGAGCACAGACCACCCCGTCCTGTGCCGGTCCCACTGACTGCCCCTTGCCTCCTGCCCCCAGGAGAACGAGACCTGGTGGCTGTGCGACTGCTTCATGGCCACGTGCAAGTACAACAACACAGTGGAGATCGTGAGGGTGGAGTGTGAGCCGCCGCCCATGCCCACCTGCTCCAACGGCCTCACCCCCGTGCGCGTCAGCGACCCTGACGGCTGCTGCTGGCATTGGGAGTGCGACTGTGAGTCCGGGGTCCCCAGGCCTTCCCCGCATCTCCTGCCCTCTCCGTGGGTGGGGGCTGCAGGGCCCATCTCCCAGGGGCAGAAGGGTTGAGGCTCCTTGGGCACAGACCCCACTGCAATGTTCACTGAGGCTGGGTGACTTCTGAGGGTCTCCTCAGCCCTGCTTTTGCCTCATTGGCGGGAAGGGTCTGGGCAGGTGGAGGGCTTGCCTGATGGAGTTAGGGCTCCTCCCTGGGACAAGGGTGCTTCTGAGGCGAGAGGGGGCTGAGTTGAGGTTTGAACCCTGGTCCGTCCTGCAGAATGGGCTGCTGTGGTTGCGCCAGGGCCAGTGCAGCTCAGACGTCCCCGAGCCCACGCACGGGAGCAGGGTTTTCAGGCCCCAGCTTCCTGCTGGCTCTTCCTGACTGCGCCCCGGCCCAGCTCTTGCACCCGACCCCGGCTGAGGGGCACAGGCGGCACGACTCACTCTGGCTCCCTCGCAGGCTACTGCACGGGCTGGGGGGACCCGCACTATGTCACCTTCGATGGACTGTACTACAGCTACCAGGGCAACTGCACCTACGTGCTGGTGGAGGAGATCAGCCCGTCCGTGGACAACTTCGGAGTTTACATCGATAACTACCACTGTGACCCCAACGACAAGGTGTCCTGCCCCCGCACCCTCATCGTGCGCCATGAGACCCAGGAGGTGCTGATCAAGACCGTGCACATGATGCCTATGGAGGTTCAGGTAGGCACAGCGTGGCCGCGGGAGGCTGGCACGGAGGTGGGCGCTGACATGGGCCCCAATGCACCCCGGTTCCCCAGGGGCCAGAGGACTGGGCTGCGGGGGTGCCCAGGCACAGCCTCTCCCAGAGCCAGGCTGGAAGGTGGGATGGGGTGGGCGCCCGGCTCCAGGACCCATCAGCTCTGCCCTCCAGGTGCATCCTGGGCCCCTCAAGCCCTGGCACGCATGCCACACTGGGCACAGTCTACAGCAGAAGCTGCCTCCTGAGGACAGAGTCAGGGACAGGGCTCTGCACACCCTTGACTGAGACGCCCCTAGTTGCAAAGGAATTATTGGTTCTGAGGCTCAGGAGGCCCTGGGAGCCTGCGCGGGATTCCACAGTCCCCAGGTGCTCCCAGGAGAGCTCCTTCACTGGCTCACCCATGGGACCGGGGTCTGGTTAGCAGCAGCGGAGTAGGAGCAAGAAAGGGGGCAGAAAAGGGGGGTAGGCAGTGCCCTCTCCCTGCATGTGTAGGTCGGAGAACAGGCGGGGTGGGGCAGCCCTAGAGCTCTCCTAAGGAGAGGACTGAGGCAGCTCCGCGGTGTGTCGGCTGCAGGTACAGGTGAACAGGCAGGCGGTGGCAGTGCCCTACAAGAAGTACGGGCTGGAGGTGTCCAAGTCTGGCATCAACTACGTGGTGGACATCCCCGAGCTGGGCGTCCTCGTCTCCTATAATGGCCTGTCCTTCTCTGTCAGGCTACCCTACCACCGGTTCGGCAACAACACCAAGGGCCAGTGCGGTGAGTTCCGTGGCCCCCATGGCTCCCGAGGCCCCCCAAGGCTCCCACGGCTCCCATTACCCCCCTGTCCTGCCCCAGGGCGGGCGGCTGGACCAGGCTGAGGCTGAGGCTGTGTGTAAACACCCACGGGCCTGCTGTGGGCCTCTTGCCTCTCTGCTTGGGGGTGCTGTGACCATCACCCGGGTTCAGTCCCTGTGAGGAGCCAACAGGAAGGGGCCTGGTCTCTGCCCTTGACTCCGGCTGGCCGGTCCTGGGCATCTGGGCTGGAGAAGGGCAGGGCTTGCCCTGTCTGCAACATGGCCTCTCTCACTGATACAGGCACCTGCACCAACACCACCTCTGACGACTGCATTCTGCCCACTGGGGAGATCGTCTCCAACTGTGAGGCTGCGGCCGACCAGTGGATAGTGAACGACCCCTCCAAGCCACACTGCCCCCACAGCAGCTCCACGACCAAGCGCCCGCCCGTCACTGTGCCCGGGGGCAACAAAACGACCCCACACAAGGGCTGCACCCCATCTCCCCTCTGCCAGCTCATCAAGGACAGGTGACCCTGCCTGGGCCTGCCTGCGGCCGTGACACCAAAAAGCTGAGGGCCTCTGTGCCCCAGCCCCCAGCTCTTGCAAAGAGGAAGGAAGCAGTGCATGGGGCCTGGCACTGGGGCTGGGAAGGCAGGAGGCCACGGAACCAGGGCCAGGAGCTAGGTCGCCGTGGTGTCCAGGACCTGGGTCGTTGGGTTCCACAGGGCTAAGCTGCCATGTCTGGCATGCCTGTGCCTTTATTGAACTCCATAATCTCTCCCGGCTCCTGGGAAGGTGCAGGGCTGGCCGAGTGTGAGACTCAGAGTAGACCAGTCAACCCAGGACAGAGCTCAGGGCTGATATTGGGAGGCAGATTTGGGCTTGGACAGAGGGGGGTGCTTCTAATGCTGGCAGCCATGGGGTTCAGCACCCCGTCCCTGGAAGTATAGGGGCCAAGTACAGGCTGGGGTGTCCGTCTGTCAGGGTTGTTGGAGGGGGTCCTGAAGCTGATGACCACGTAGACGTGGCTTCTATCTGGGAGCCGGGCTGCAGAGCCACCTTGCTCGCCCATCCCTTGGTCTGTCCCTGACCCGTCCCCCGGCTGGCCTGTCCCTTGACCCTCTGTCGGCCACAGACGCCTCTCTGGTGGGTGCCGGACTCCAGGAGGACAGTCCGGGCAGAGATGCTGGGGTAGGGAGTGGGGGAGAGGCAGCTGCCACCTGAGTGTGACCTGTGCCTCTCCCTGCGCAGCCTGTTTGCCCAGTGCCATGCGCTGGTGCCCCCACAGCACTACTACGACGCCTGCGTATTCGACAGCTGCTTTGTGCCGGGCTCAAGCCTGGAGTGTGCCAGTCTGCAGGCCTACGCAGCCCTCTGCGCCCAGCAGGGCGTCTGCCTCGACTGGCGGAACCACACGCATGGGGCCTGCTGTAAGTGTCCATCTGCCCCTGCCCTGGAGCTGGGGACCTGCAGGCCAGATGTGGTCTCTAGGCTCTGCCGGGTGCTGTGCCCAGCCTGAAGCTAGACCAAGGTGGGCTGTGGCCAGGGATGCAGAGATGGTGGGTGTGAGACCAGGGCTAGGGCCATGGGGTGGGGAAAGGCTGAGCTGGAGGAACTGAGGTGCTGGGGGTTCTGCCAGTGTCACTAAACGCAACTGGGTGCCCACCACCTGGCTCGGGACAACCGTGAGGGCAGAGGCTGATGCCCCAGACAGCTGGCCACCCTCCTCTGTGTGTGGGGCACTAGGCAGCTGTCACTCAAGGGGGTCCAGGCTCCTCCGCCTGACATGAGGCAGCCCTCTGACCCCTGCCCCTGTCCTGCAGTGGTGGAGTGCCCGTCTCACAGGGAGTACCAGGCCTGTGGCCCTGCAGAAGAGCCCACGTGCAAATCCAGGTATGTTGCTTGAGGGTCCACCAGGACCGTGGGCTTGCCCTCTGCAGTGCGGAGGGTGGCATCATCTGGGCATAGCAGTCCCGCCTGCCAGCTCCCCAGCCCCACCCCACCTGTCTGACGATGCCCTCCCGCCCCCAGCTCCTCCCAGCAGAACAACACAGTCCTGGTGGAAGGTTGCTTCTGTCCTGAGGGCACCATGAACTACGCCCCTGGCTTTGATGTCTGCGTGAAGACCTGCGGTAGGCCACCCACTCACACTGTCCCCTGCTGCCTCCCTCCCGCCGCCTCCTGGGTGTCCACAGAGGCTGGGACCAGGAGGCTGACCACCCCCGACCCCTGCTCCCTGCTGCACAAGGACTCTGCTAACACAACTTGTTTCTTCCCTCTTCCTAGGCTGCGTGGGACCTGACAATGTGCCCAGAGAGGTAGGCCCCACCTTGGTGCTGGGGGATTCTCCCACAAATTCTAAATTCTGGGGAGTGAGGGATGGACATGAAAACGTAAAGCCTCAAAGATTGAGGAATGAGGTGATCTAAGTTCTGGATGGCTGAGTTGGCAGGGACATCACCCACTCACCCACCCATCCTTCCAGCCACCCACTCATCTGCCTATGTACCCATCTACCCACTCACCTACCCCTCCATCCATCCTTCCACCTACCTAGTCATCACCCACTCATCTGTGCACCCACCCACCCACTCATCTACCTACACATCCACCCACCCATCCATCCATCCATCTACCCACCCAGCCAGTCAGCCACCCACCCAACCATCCTTCTGTCCCTCCATTCATCTATCTGTCCTTTCATCCTTCCACCCACCTGGCCATCCATCCATCCATCCATCCACCCATCCATCCACCATCCATCCATCCATCCATCCACCCACCATCTATCTACCATCCACCATCCATCTACCATCCACCATCCATCCATCCAACCATCCATCCAACCATCCACCCACCCATCTATCCATTCACTCACCCATCCATCCATCCACCCACCCATCCACCCATCCACCCATCCATCCATCCATCCATCCATCCATCCATCCATCCATCCACCCACCCACCCATCCACCAACCCATCCATCCATCCATCCATCCATCCACCCACCCACCATCCATGCATCCATCCATCCACCCACCCACCTACCCACTCATCCACCCATCCATCCACCCACCCACCCAGCCATTCATCCACCTACCCACTCATGTACCCATCCATCCACCTATCCACACATCCATTCACCATCCATCTACCATGCACCCATCCATCCATCCACCCACCCACCCACCCATCCATCCATCCACCCACCCATTCATCCACCCACCCACCCACCCACCCATCCACCCACCCGCCCATCCATCCACCATCCATCTACCATCCAACCACCCACCCAACCATCCACCATCCATCCATCCATCCATCCATCCATCCATCCATCTACCATGCACCCATCCATCCATCCACCCACCCACCCACCCATCCATCCATCCACCCACCCATTCATCCACCCACCCACCCACCCACCCATCCACCCACCCCCCATCCATCCACCATCCGTCTACCATCCAACCCACCCACCCAACCATCCACCATCCATCCATCCACCATCCATCCATCCACCATCCATCTACCATCCCCACCCACCCATCCACCCACCCATCGATCCACCCACCCACCCACCCACCCACCCATCCATCCATCCACCCACCCACCCACCCATCCATCCATCCATCCACCCACCCATCCACCCATCCACCCACCCATCCATCCATCCACCATCCGTCTACCATCCGACCACCCACCCAACCATCCACCATCCATCCGTCCATCCATCCATCCATCCATCCATCCATCCATCCACCATCCATCTACCATCTGCCCACCCATCTATCCACCCATCCACCATCCATCCATCCATCCACCCACCATCCACCTATTTATCCATCCATTCTCTCTCCCTCCATTTACCACCCATTGGTCATATGATACTCTGTCTAGAAGCTCTGACACGACATCTTGGCCACTTCTGTGCTGCCTGTGCCTCTTACCTGTGGTAGCATCCATGTGGCTGATTCCTTAGCTAAATTCTGCACAAACCTGAGAGGCCTGAGTGGAGCATCTACCACGTGCCAAGCTCCTGCTGGCAGATGCTGGTGAGCAGGTCATGGTCTTGTGGTATCAGTGAATGGGCAGCAACTGTCCTATCCCAGAACCTGCCTGGTGTGCTCAGGTTGACGTGAGGAGGGACGCGGTTTTCCCCCAGGATCCCTCAGCACTCTGTTCAGGGCAGCTGTTTCTCCCCACTGACCACAGCTGCAGCTCCAGGGCTGTGGTGCGGCGGGGCCTGCCTGGCACTTCCTGTCCTTTCTACTCACCCCTCTTTCCCTGCAGTTTGGGGAGCACTTTGAGTTCGACTGCAAGAACTGTGTCTGCCTGGAGGGTGGAAGTGGCATCGTCTGCCAGACCAAGAGGTGCAGCCAGAAGCCTGTTACCCATTGTGTGGAAGACGGCACCTACCTCGCCACGGAGGTCAACCCTGCCGACACCTGCTGCAACATTACCGTCTGCAGTAAGGCCATCCCCTGGGGCCCGCACCACCTCTTGGAGGTGCACACATCCCCGTAGGCCGGGCTGCCTGCTGTCCCCTCTGTGGCAAGTGGGGAAACAGCTGGCTTGGGGGCCTCCGATGTGCCCCTTGAGAGGGCTTGGGAGGGGGCCGCTGGGCACAGTCCAGGCATCCCTGCTGCAGGGCCTGACCTGGGTGGGGAGGGGACCCTTGGTGGTGCTAGGGGCCTGACCCTGTGCAGTGGCCCCGGGGGCTTTGCCTGTGAGGAGCCACCCTCATGGCCGCATGCCCACCCTGTCTTCAGAGTGCAACACCAGCCTGTGCAAAGAGAAGCCCCCCGAGTGCCCGCTGGGATTTGAAGCGAAGAGCAAGATGGTGCCTGGCAGGTGCTGCCCCTTCTACTGGTGTGGTAAGCAGGGCTGGTGGGCGGGGCAGGGGGAGGCTGCTGCCCGGGGTGGGGGGCTGGTGGGCGGGCAGGGGGGAGGCTGCCGCCCGGGGTGGGGTGGCTGTGGGGGATGGGCTTTCTCCTAGGGGCCTCAGATTCTGGGGACACAGATGGCTGCATGCTTGGTTGATGCACCCACTCCAGCCTTGAGCACCCACTGGGTGTGCACTGGGAGTGGGGGTCTGGCCAGGTGGCCATCCCGGGGCAGTCTCCAACGAACGGCGTTCTCCGTTCTTTCTCCCAAGAGTCCAAGGGGGTGTGCGTTCACGAGAATGCTGAGTACCAGGTGAGCCCTGGGCTGGGTGAGGGGGGAGGAGGGGAGGAGGGGAGGAGGTTGGCTGCAGTGTGGGGTCCTGGCAGGCTCTTGGGCTGGCTGGGGTGCTGGAGAAGCCCCTGCCTCACGTCTCTCCCTATGCCCGAAGCCCGGTTCTCCAGTTTATTCCTCCAAGTGCCAGGACTGCGTGTGCACGGACAAGGTGGACAACAGCACCCTGCTCAACACCATCACCTGCACCCATGTGCCCTGCAGCACCTCCTGCAGCCCAGTAAGCGGCCGCCCCAGCCCTGGTTCCCCACCTCAGCCTGCCCTTTTCCCTCCTCCCAGACAAGTACCCGGGCCCATGTCTGTGTCGTGACACTTTCTTTCCTCCTTTCAATGCCAACCTCTCCCTGTTCCCACCTCTCCGTCCTGACACCTGCCCAGCTTGGGGCCTCCTCCAGGTGGGGGTTGTCAGCAGTCCTGCAGGCTTTGTGTGGTGTGGGGTACAGCCTGGGAGTTCAGCTGCAGTGGCGTGTCTGTGTGCGCAGGGCTTTGAACTCGTGGAGGCCCCCGGGGAATGCTGCAAGAAGTGTGAACAGACGCACTGTATCCTCAAGCAGCCTGACAACCAGCACGTCATCCTGAAGGTGTGTGCTGCTGGCCCTGGCGTGGCCGGGGTTGCTTGAGCCCAGGGCAAGGCACAGGCCACCCAGGATCCTCCAGCTGAGTCCTCCCAGTCCTGGACGCAGCTGTGATGGGCGTCCTAGGGCTGCCATGACAAATGAGCAGGCGTCTTCAGGGCAGAAAGGGATTCTCCTGGTTCTGGGGCCCAGAAATCCCAGAGCAAAGGGCCTCAGGGCTGTGCTCCCTCAGAGGCTCTAGGCAAGGACCTTTCCCAGCCTCTGGTTCCTCCAGGTGCCCTTGGCTGTGGCCATGAGGTTTCCTTCCCTGTGTCTGTCTCTCCTCTCCCTTGTAAGAATTTAGGGCCCCCCCAGCAGGATGATCTCATCTTAGGATGTTTCATTTAATGACACCTTCAAAGATCCCTTTTCCAAGGCAGGTCACGTTCATAGATTTAGAGTTACAACACAGACAGATCTTTGAGGGCTGTGTGGGCTCCAGACTGGTGCCTGATGTGGGGTCCCACCTGTGTCGCTTGTCCTGTGGCCCAGGGCCTTGCCAGGAAGCCTCCCCAGCCAGGTGTCTCCAGGGTGTCTTCCTGGCTGGGCTGGGCTGGGCCTGCTGCCCTCCCTCACCAAAGCTCCCTGCCCCACAGCCTGGGGACTTCAAGAGCGACCCCAAGAACAACTGCACATTCTTCAGCTGCGTGAAGATCCACAACCAGCTCATCTCGTCCATCTCCAACATCACCTGCCCCAACTTTGACGCCAGCATTTGTGTCCCGGTGAGTGGGCCACCTGGGGCCTGGCTGTGGGTGCTCAGCCGGGAGTGGGGGCGCCTGGTGTTCTGAGGGTCTGGGGCCCCAGTGCTGTGACAGTGGCCTCGGGCCTGGTCTGAGCTGCCACAGGAGGCTTTGCTTGGGGCTTTCTGCAGCAGCTAGTCCCGCCCGTGGCATGGGAGGAAGGTGCTCTCATCCCCAGGAATGTCCGGGGGTCCCGGGCTCATTCTCCTTTCCCTCCAGGGCTCCATCACACTCATGCCCAATGGATGCTGCAAGACCTGTGAGTACAGGGCATAGCCTGGGGGGTGGGCAGGGTTGGGGCACAAGGGCTGGTGCCCTCAGCCCTGCCTGGGGTGGCTGGAGGATGGACAATGGCCTCCGGGCGGGCAGTGAGGGCTGGGGGCTGAGGCCAAGCCTGGGGAAGGGACGCAGCGAGGGAGAGCCTCCCTCTCCCCTCAAAGATGTGGAGGCCCTGCCCCGAGCCGCTGCCCCCTCTCCCCAGGCATCCCTCGCAATGAGACCAGGGTGCCCTGCTCCACCGTCCCCGTCATCACGGAGGTTTCGTACGCCGGCTGCACCAAGACTGTCCTCATGAATCATTGCTCCGGGTCCTGCGGGACATTTGCCATGTGAGTTCCAGGCTGGGAGTGTGCCTGGAGGGGATGGTGGGGACCCCATAGAGGCGAGAGGCCAGCGCTGGCCCTGGGAGGTTGCCCCTCACTCCGCCCTCCCCGCAGGTACTCGGCCAGGGCCCAGTCCCTGGACCACGGGTGCTCCTGCTGCAGAGAAGAGAAAACCAGCCAGCGTGAGGTGGTCCTGAGCTGCCCCAATGGTGGCTCGCTGGCACACACCTACACGCACATCGAGAGCTGCCAGTGCCAGGACACCATCTGCGAGTTGCCCACCGACACCTCCCGCCGGGCCCGGCGCTCCCCCAGGCATCTGGGGAGTGGGTGAACTGGGTGGGCACAGCCACCCTTCACTGCCCTCCACAGCTCTGCCTCCCCCGGACCCTCTGAGCTTCCTGGCCTCCTAAGCTTGGCTTCCTCTCTTCAGATATTTATTGTCTGAGTCTTTGTTCAGTCTTTGCTTTCCAATAATAAACTCAGGCAGACACGCCGCACTGTGTGGTTTCGGTTGGTGCTGCAGGGGTGTGGCTTGACCGCTGTGCATGGCGGAGGCCTGGCCACACAGGACATGGGGACACCACACACACGCCACGTGGTTGGCACATCCCTCGTACCAAATGCAGGGGGCATGTGGGGGCTGCCTGCCCTCCACTCCCGGTTCTCACCCTGGGCAAAACCCCCATGGGGCCGTGGAAACGTGGTCAGATTCCCTGGTAGGAATCCCCCCAGCCCTGAATCTGTGAGAAGAACCCTGGGTTCCTTCACAGCCATTTCCCAGGCTTGCCACGGTTGGTGGGGACTTTGTGTAGCCCCGAGGGTCAGGTGACCCTGGGGTGTGTGTGTGTGTGTGTGTGTGTGTATGTGTGTAGCCCTGAGGGTCAGGTGGCCCTGGGGTGTGTGTGTGTGTGTGTGTGTGTGTGTGTAGCCCTGAGGGTCAGGTGGCCCTGGGTGTGTGTGTGTGTGTGTGTGTGTGTGTGTGTGTGTAGCCCTGAGGGTCAGGTGGCCCTGGGGTGTGTGTGTGTGTGTAGCCCCGAGGGTCAGGTGGCCCTGGGGAGGGGGGTGTGTGTGCCCGGGGTGGTGGTATTGTGTGTGTAGCCCTGAGGGTCAGGTGGCCCTGAGGAGAGGGTGTGTGTGTGTGTGTGTAGCCTGAGGGTCAGGTGGTGGGGGGGTGGGGGGGTGTGTGTGGTGTGTGTGTAGCCCCGAGGGTCAGGTGGCCCTGGGGAGGGGGTGGTGTGTGTGTGTAGCCCGAGGGTCAGTGCCCTGGGGGGTGTGTGTGTGTATGTGTGTAGCCCTGAGGGTCAGGTGGCCCTGGGGAGGGTGTGTGTGTGTGTGTGTGTAGCCCCGAGGGTCAGGTGGCCCTGGGGAGGGGGTGTGTGTGTGTATGTGTGTGTAGCCCTGAGGGTCAGGTGGCCCTGAGGAGAGGGTGTGTGTGTGTGTGTGTGTAGCCCTGAGGGTCAGGTGGCCCTGAGGAGAGGGTGAGGGTGTGTGTGTGTGTGTGTGTGTGTGTGTGTGTGTGTAGCCCCGAGGGTCAGGTGGCCCTGGGGAGGGGGGGTGTGTGTGTGTGTAGCCCCGAGGGTCAGGTGGCCCTGGGGAGGGGGTGTGTGTGTGTATGTGTGTGTAGCCCTGAGGGTCAGGTGGCCCTGAGGAGAGGGTGTGTGTGTGTGAGTGTGTGTGTGTGTGTGTAGCCCCGAGGGTCAGGTGGCCCTGAGGAGAGGGTGTGTATATGTGTGTGTGTGTGTGTGTGTGTGTGTAGCCCCGAGGGTCAGGTGGCCCTGAGGAGAGGGTGTGGGTGTGTGTGTGCGAGCATTTGCTTGTGTGCACACGTGTCTGCATGTGCCGTATGTATGTGAATTGCACCTCGCCCTGGGTCTCTACACTGGGAAAATGGAGAAGGTCTTAGTCCTCAGGTCACTGTCAGCTCCTGCTGCAAAGTGACAAAAGGCAACTAGGACCTGGTGGCCCCGTCAGGGCTTTGGGGAGCTGCCAGGCAGAGCTGCCAATGCCTTCAAACCTGCAGAAGTTCTGGTTGGCTCTGTGGACCCAGCCAGACAGGGGGCACTGGGTGTGGACCCTGGGCACAATGCCCACTTGTGTTGGAGAGCTGAGCCCCCGGCCTTCTTTTTTTTTTTTTTTTTTTTTTGAGACGGAGTCTCACTCTGTCGCCCAGGCTGGAGTGCAGTGGCCGAATCTCAGCTCACTGCAAGCTCCGCCTCCCAGGTTTACGCCATTCTCCTGCCTCAGCCTCCCGAGTAGCTGGGACTACAGGCGCCTGCCACCTCACCCGGCTAGTTTTTTGTATTTTTTAGTAGAGACAGGGTTTCACCGTGTTAGTCAGGATGGTCTCGATCTCCTGACCTCGTGATCCGCCCGTCTCGGCCTCCCAAAGTGCTGGGTTTACAGGCTTGAGCCACCGCGCCCGGCCGCCCCCGGCCTTCTAGGTGGAGCCCACGGAGGCTGCTAGGGCCAGAGCAGGTGCTTGTGTAGTTCAGAGAGGAGTCTGGTGTCTCCTGTCAAAGGCAGGGGTGTGCGGGGAGGCCGAGGCCCCTGAGCACAGTGATCCAACCTCGAGCATCCTCTGAGGTCAAAGGGGAGGACATTTGTCCCCAGACCGCAAGGCTGTGCCACACCCTTTACATGTGTAAAAACCCTCAGGAGGGCAGACACCTGGGCTGGGCTCTGCACTTCCAAAGCCAGGGTGCAACCGGTTCCCAGGGCGTGACAGGTCCCCAGGGCGCGACGGGTCCCCAGGGCGTGACAGGTCCCCGGGTGCAATGGGTCCCATCCCCTGCTGTCCTACCTCCCAAGTAGCTGTACAGGCATGTGGCACCATGACTGGCTAATTTTTAAGAACTTGCTTTTTGTTCTTATCTTTCAAAACAATCCTATGTTTTACTAAAGTAACATGCACGTGATTTTTGAATAGTTTTGTTTGTTTTGTAGAGACAGGGTCTCACTATGTTGCTCAGGCTGGTCTCAAACTCCTTCCTGGGTTCAAGCGATCCTCCCAACTCAGGCTCCCAAAGTACCAGGATTATAAGCATGAACCACTGAGCCTGGCTCCTGGCGGGGGGCTGAGGCCACTGCCCTCCCCTAGCTGCTGCCTCCCATCTGACCCCAGGGAAGGCAGTGGTTGAGGGCCGGAGTTGAGCAGCAGCCCTGTGGGGTCCGAAGCCAGTTGGGACATCCCAGCTCATTAGCGCCACCCAGGGTCCTGGGACCCGCTCAGGTCTGGGGCCTTTCCACTTCCCCGCTTGGCTCAGCAGAGCCCCCAAAAGGACCTGCTCATCCCCTCTGGTGGCCCCAGGAGCCCACACTGTCTAGGCCTAGGGACCTCCTGGGCGGTCAGTTGGCCTGGGCCTGCCATGGAGCCCCTGAGGCCACCCCAGAGCCTCTGGCATAGCCACGTGGGGATTCTGGGGGCTTCAGAACTGGCCCTTCCATGAAGCGGTTAGCATGACCCCCAGAGCCATCCCTGGGTCATTTCGAGGGTGATCTGTTTCCGGCCCACCCCCAAAACCTATGTATCTGCCTGGCTGTGCCCACTGGGCCCAGCAGTCCCTGCACAGGCCAGGAAATGGGCAGGGGGGGTTGGGGGCACTGCAGTCAGAGATCTGGTAAGGAAGAGGTGGCCAGGGTCCCTCCAACTTCCTCATCTGTCTCCCGGCTTGCAGCTGTGAAGAGGGGTTTCTCCTGGTGATGCAGCGTGGACACGGGTGCGGCTGGGCCCCTGCCTGCTCTTCCCTGCTGTGCCCTTTGAAGCAGAGGCTACCCGGCAAGCTCAGGAGAGCATGAGCCCTGACCCCAGTCCTTCCCCAGACAGCCCTGCCCCTTCCCAGAGCAGGCCCCACCCCTTTCCTAAGACAGGCCCGCCCCCTCCCCAGAGCAGGCCCCACCCCTTTCTGAGAGGAGGCCCCGCCCCTTCCCCAGAGAAGACCCCACCCCTTTCCTAGGAGAGGCCCCGCCCCTCCTGCCCACTCAGGATCTTCATTTTGGGTTCTCTTGTGTCCAAAACTCCAGTGCAGGTGTTGTGGGCTGGGAAGGAGCTGCCCCTTCAGGTGGAGGTAGGGTTGGTGCCAATGGAGGGGCAGGGAGACGCAGGGGCTCCTTTACCACCACGTCCAGTCACTGTGCAGCCCCTGACTTTATCCCCAGCGGCCTCCTCTTCCTCACATAGCTCATGCCCCCAGCTGGGTCCTCCTGGGTCTCCCTAGGGGTGACCTGGGGCAGGGGCTGCCTGGCCTGTTTCCCTGGGCTCCCCACAGTGGGCTAAGCCCACAGCAGAGGAGATAGGGAGCCAGTCAGCCAGGTGGGCAGCCTGCTACCCCCTTGGAGTAGCTGGAAGGGTTGGGACCACGTTCTCTCATTCTCTGGAAGAAGTTGGCTGTTCCCACAGCGGCCTCCCTGTTTCTGGGAGCAGACGGAAGGCCCAGCGCGCGCTCCTCCTTTCCCCCAACGTGAGACTTGCTATTGTTCCCTTGGCTGAAACAAGCCATGCGCCTGGCTGTCAGGTGCTCCGGGCTGTGCCAGCAAACCACAAACCAGGGGCTGAAAGCCACAGGAAAGCTCTATCCCACAGTTTCAGAGGCCGGAGTCTGAGGCGAAGGCGTGGCAGTGCCACACGGCCGCTCAGGCTAGGGGAGCATGCTTTCTGCCCTTCCAGCTGCAGGTGGCTCTGGGCATTCCTTGGCTTGTGGCTGCGTCGCCCACACCCTGCCTCCGTATCCGTGGGGGCTTCTCCCGGGTATTTCTCCCTTTGCATCCCTTCTAAGGACACTGGTCGTTGGATTTAGGGCCCACCCGATAATCCAGGCTGATCTCGTGAGGTCCACAATTTAATCATATCTGCAGAGGCTCTTTTTCTTTTTCTTTCTTTGGAGACAGATTCTTGCTCTGCCACCCGGGCTGGAGTGCAGTGGTGTGATCTCGGCTCACTGCAACCTCCGCCTCCCCAGTTCAAGCAGTTCTCCTGCCTCAGCCTCCTGAGTAGCTGGGATTACAGGCATGCGCCACCATGCCCAGCTAATTTTGTATTTTTAGTAGAGATGAAATTTCACCATGTTGGCTAGGCTGGTCTCAACTCCTGACCTCAGATGATCTGCCTGCCTCGGCCTCCCAAAATGCTGGGATTATAGGCGTGAGCCACTGCACCTGGCCGCAAGTCTTGGTGGCTCACGGCAACAGGGTTCTGTCTGGTTTGTGCTCCGTTTGTGGCTGCGTGACTGGTGCCCTCCTCCACACCCGGTCACTCTAGGGCCTAGGCTGCGGGAGCAGCTATCGCCTCCGTGGTCACAGTGTGGGGACGGGAGACCGAGGGTCATGCCCATGTCTGAGTCCCCTGGGAGGTTCTGGCTCCGCTCAGACGCTAGGTCCCTGGGGCTGCAGTACCACCACCAGGCAGGAGAGGGTGCCAGAGGCGCGTGGAGGATTTAACAACGGACGGAGCTCAGGTGCAGACAGGTGTCTGATGGGAGTCGACAGCGTGTCTCAACT